CAAATGATGTGACAGACTTTGATGATCCCCCATGGAAGGCCTCACCATCCCTAGCTAGCAGGTGGGCTGAGGGGGCTGGGGGGAGAACGGGGATTGATATGTAGAATGATTGTTTCTAAATAAAAAAATATTTATAAATCAAAACTTAAAGATAGATATTGCAGAATCAATTAAAATTAATAGGGAAGGGAGTAATTACAAGTAGAATGAAAACACTTCGCAACTGGTAAGGAAAATGCCATGTAATAATAAATACGGTGTTGAAAATGATGTGGGGACTAACTAGACGCTCAATAAGCAACTAGTTTATTATATTGATGTAAATAAATAGAAAATTGGTGATAATATCACCTTAGAATATCTAAGGAATGATCACAAAAGAGACAGACGATTTGTAGAATTAAAGTCCCTTATGTAGCTTTAAATTTCTGGTTATTAAGGAAAGAAAATCTACTCTATGAGCTCAAGGCCAGCCTAGACAGTTAGAGCTGTTACACAGAGAAACCCTATCTCGAAAAACAAAAGCAAAAGCAATTTTATTTTCACTGTAAACAAGTATTGAAGTAAAGAAAGCTACATGGTGTTAAATATTTTATTTCTCAAGATTTTTATGAGAGAGTATCCCTCTATTTGTAAGTGGCTCCCAAAGTACATTCCAATGATAGGGATAAATTCTGATCTACTACCAGAGGTCCCATAGATTGCAGAGGCCTCCTCACTGACACCCACTTTCAGAGAGTCTGGATCATTCCTATGCTGGTTTCCCAGTCTGGGGTCCATGAGCTCCCCCTTATTCAGGTCAGCTGTTTCTGTGGGTTTCACCAGTCTGGTCTTGATCCCCTTTGCTCATCACACCTCCCTCTCTGCAACTGGATTCCAGGAGTTCAGTTCAGTGTTTAGCTGTAGGTGTCTGCTTCTGCTTCCATCAGTTACTATCAGTCTAAGCAATTGTGGAGATGCTACCTTAAATGCCTTTCCCTGATAATGAGATTGATGACTACCTTAAACGCTATCCTTAATGATGATTCTTTCAAAAATATTTTTGGAATTATTTTTATGTTTATGTGTGTTTTGCCTTTATGGTTATGTGTGTGCCACACTTGCACATTGTACCCAAACAAAACAGAAGCGGGGATATTCCTATCTCTATTACAAACAGAAGCGGGGATATTCCTATCTCTATTACAAAAACCCTCTTTGTGTCCCAGAGCCACAGAATTCAATATAAAGCAGCCCAACATTCTTTCTATTTACCATAGAGAGTACTGAAAAGAGAAGATGACCATGCTAATTATACACACAATGCAGACTTTTAATTGTAATATGTATAGAGATATTTGTTTAATCTGAACTTAAAATGAGATAATTCCATAAGCCATTAAATTCTTTTTTAATCTCTTTTTATTTGAATTAGATAATCTGAACTTAAAATGAGATAATTCCATAAGCCATTAAATTCTTTTTTTAATCTCTTTTTATTTGAATTAGAAAGATTGTTTTACATGACAATCCGAATTCCCTTTTCTCTCCCGTCCTCCCCTACTAAAACCCTACCTATCACATAGCCTTTCTTTCATTCTTCCCCTGACTCAACCTTTCTGCTCCCTCATGACCTCTGCATCCTTCCTGTTCTTCCCTTCTCATTCTTGTAGCTACCTCCCCCCTCTTCCCATGCTCTCAAGCCATGAAATTCTTTAAAAAACTATTCAGACATAGAACATGTTGAACACAGTGTATACCTGGACCTGACTTCTTGCATCTTATAGACAACCAAGCAGTGTCATGGGGGCCAGATGTAAAATTGTAATCCTTGGCTTTATTCCATGGGATTAAAAAGTCAAGATCCCATTAAGATGCCAAGGGGATAGCTTAGATGAAACTCTACCAACCCACACAAATGACACATATATAAATGTTGCTCATTAATTTGAACTTGCTTGGTAAAAATTGACCCATGATACTAACTTTTGCTAAGAAACTTTAAAAAGTCAAAAGAAAATCCATAAAGAGGGGATTCCAATCAGATGCTTATTCCTCAAGAATTATCTGGAGAAAAAAAATATGATTCTATGTAACAATGGTGTGTGTATGGCAGCAAGCTTGTAATGCCTTCACCCGTGGAGGCATTTGGAGAGACAGGGTGTTAAATGGGTACACTTAAATGGGATGGGGCTTGGGAGTAGAATACCATTGTCCTGCTATAGGCTCACACCTTAAAATTCCACAAATGTGGGAGGGGAATGGGATATTTTCTTGTTTTGCACTGTTTGCATGACATTGTTTTTGAAATCCTAGTCCGTGGTGTTTAATTTTGATTGATAACTTGATGGAATCTGAAGCTTCTACGAGGTGTGCAACAGGACAGATAGACAAGTATACTTGCCAGAGTTGAGTAAAAGGTGAAGACCCTCCCAAGAGTGGGTGTTGCATCCTCACCGATAGTGTCTAAATAGAGAAATCAAAGTTATGAGGGCATTTTTTATAGTCTTTTGACTATAAAATTGCATTTTTAAGAAAGCTCTTTTTAGTATCTACCTTGCAATTCCCTCCTCCTGCATTTTCTTGTTTGGGAAAGTTTAGGCATTATTTATCCTTAGTATTTTAGTTCCCTGGTTAGAGAGAAAAATAATCAATATGATGTATAAAAGAAAAAAATGCAGTGGACCAATTAAAGAGGCAAGAAATGCTTCAACACAACTAGTGCAAGAGGAAAATAGATTGAACTCAGTTGTGCTGAAACAAAGAACTTTGGAGGTTTTATGTTGAGATAAGCTACTGGTAACCCTTGGAAAATACTATGGTAAAGCTGTTAAGAGTGAACCTGAACATTTGTAGATTGTCATTTCTCAAAGATGCTTAAAGACATTCTTCTCCTTAGAATCTTTGCTAAGGAAATTGTAAAAGAATGTCTTCAGGTCCTTGTAAAATGAAAAATAAAGACCCAGAAACAGTTATTGGGGTTCAAACTTCAAGCTGATGTTCAGAGAAGCAAATCAGCCAGGTCAGTATATCTTACCTCTTTCCAGCTGAAATGGCAATCCTGTTTCTTTTAATCCTGGGAGGAAAAAGCTCTCACCAAGCCTCAGGCTGTTGCCTCTCCTCAGTGTGGCTGGAGAATGAATGCCAGCTCTGAGACACTGTTTCTTTCTTAGTTACCTCTCATCAGTGGTGGGATTAAAGGCATGAGTTCTGTTACTCTTTCCAACTGATTCAATCTTGTATAGCCTTGGGTGACCTTGAACCCAGAGAAATCTATTTGCCTTTGTCTCCAAAGTCCTGGAACTAAAGGTACCTACCACCACTTCCTAGCTTCTATAGATAACTAGTATGGCTGCTTTGATGTTTTGATCACCAGTTGCTTTGATAAACCATAAACAATGTATCACCACAGGTCTTTGAAGATTTATGGGTTATAGAAATGTATGTATCTTTCTTCCTGTGGCTACCATTTATCTAAAGTAGTTTAGATAGTAGTAGGACTCCATATGCTCCTCTACTTTCCATGCTGGGATTTTATCTGACTTTGACTTGTTCAGGTCTTCTACATGCTGTCATAGTGTCTATGAGTTCATATGTGCAACTGCCCTGTTGTGTACAGAAAATGATTTTTCATTATAGCTATCCATCACTTCTGGCTCTTACAGTATTCCCTACCTCTTTCCCAGAGATCCCTGATCCTTGGAAGAGTGGGTTCCTTTTAGGGCTGAGAACTCCACTGTCACTTATTCTCCATACCTGGGCTACTTGTGGGTCTCTGGTTTACTAGTCATCTACAAAAAGAAGCTTCTTCAATAAGGACTGAGACCTGTACTAATAAAGGATTATAAAAAGTTATGAGGAGTCAGACTAATACTGTGTCCCATTACCAGAAAAATAGACTCTCCCCTGGGGCTTATGACCTGTCTAGCCATATGTTATTTGCTTTAATAACTGTGCAGTTTATAGGTCCATCTTGTGTACTGGGCCCTTAATCCAATCAGAAGGTGTTTGGTTACACCCATGACATTGGTGCCACTGTTCCTATTGCTTAAAATACTTAATATTCAGACAAAGCCAATATGTACAGACAATTCCAGTGGGCATAGCTTGTTGAGTAAGTCATTACTATTATTATTATTATTAGTAGTAGTAGTAGTAGTAGTAGTAGTAGTAGTAGTAGTAGTATATACACATAGAGATTATAAACTTGAGTTTCAGGAAATATAATATATAACAGCACATGTCTTTTTTTCCTATGGCATTTTCATAATAATTTCATTCTACAGAACTGACAGGAAAATAGTTGAAGTATACAAGTACCTGGGTTTATTTATTTTAACCTGGGGTAAAAATAGTAAATTCTTCCAGTATTAATACAGTGAACTATTGACAGATAACAAACAAATGTTTTTTCTGTGTTACGCATTATTATAAATTATTTCATTATTATAAATGTAATTCAGATGTTGTCATTGCCCTTTATTTTGTTTCCCTCACTCCCTCTCTTCATTCCTTCCTCCTTTCCTTCCTTCTATTCTTTTAACCCTTAATTCCTTTTTTATTCCTTCTTTCTTCCCTTTCCTTTCTTTTTTATTCCTTTTAAAACTTATATGAGCTGCACCATAGTCCAGCAAGTCAACATGACTTAAAGGATATAAATGTGTTGACAGCTAAATTGAAGCTTTACAGTTTAGAGATATACAGCTCTTGATAGAAACAGTTAAAAAGAAAACACAGATGGTAGAAGAGAATAGTGAGCCAAAGCATCATGACATAATAATATTATTAAAGAAATACTTAACCAAAGGGGCTAAACTGCAGTAATGTTAATTGATATGTGTCTCCAAAACATGCTAGAAGATCCATCTTTAAAAAACTAAGATAGAGGAGGCTGTGCTGTATGAAGTCACGAAATTAATAATCTCATGGTACTTATCATTTTTAACACAGGTTGGAACTCCAAGAATTTACTGTCAGGGTAGAAAAAAAATTCCTGTATTTCAGAGATTGTATCAAATGACAGTGGGCACTGGAAACAGAAACATATTATTTCAAACAGATAGCTTTATTTAAAATGTGGAGACCATAAATTAAATTTAAAAAATGCCACCACCACCTAGAACTGACAGGAGAATTGGACACATGCCCCCATCCCTAAGCCAGAAGCTATCTCCAATTGATAACTACTTGCAAATGAAAATTAGTTTTCTCCAAGGAAGAGTCACTGGAGAAACAAACTACCCTTAAGGGTAGGATGCATGTCCAAGGCATGTCCAGCATTAGATAGCCAAATGAAAACAAACTCAATGGCATTTTCAGATATGCCTTGTCTCATATGTAATACTATTTTCTTCATTATGCCATTTAAAATTTTTATTTATACATTTTCTCTTTTTTCCCTATAGCTCCTTTGAATGCATATTATGCTTTTGGATTAGTATTTTTATGGGATTCCTAGGTGTGCAATTAAGTGGTCTTTATGTCCACATCTATTTATTTGAATTTATTTTGCTATTAACTCTTGGAAGCTTGTTTATTTCTTAATTAGAGACAGAAGGGAGGATACAGGTCAAAGGAGAGATGGGGAGAAACTGGGAGGAGTAGAGGGAGGGGAAACTGTAATCAGATATATTATGTGAGGGGGAAAAATAAACAACCCTATTTTCTAAAAAGAAAATTTTAAAACATGCTACCAAAATTCTTTCTTTATTATTTTTGTTTACTCGTATTTACATATCCATCCCCCCCATTCCCTCTCCCACCCATCTTCCCATTTTTCCATTCCCAACCCACCCCCCACCTAGCCGGAATGGGCTCCCAAACTCCATTTGTGCTCTAGGGATAAAGACTGGCTCTGA